CAAATTAAATTCCCTTTACTTTCGGCATGGGTTGTCAGGCAGGTCCCGCTAATTGTAATTAATTAAGATACCTAATTATGTAAAAATATTACATAAATATATATGTAGAATTAATATATGTATATATATACGTATGTGAATCTATATGTGTATATATATATATATATATATAATTTTTTAAAAATATTTTTATTTATATATAGGCATATATATAGTGATATATACGTGTATATTTATGTATGTAGATATTATTTCGTTCTACGTGTATTTTGATATAAATATATATATTAATATCACAATACAGTTACAACGAAATAACACACATCTATACATTTCTTTTAATTTTTTAAATTATTTTTTTATTTTATTTTTTAACATATTTACATATTTAATTTTTTTAATATTATATATAAATATATATATAACAATAATTATATATATATTTAATCAGTATCAGTCTACGTGTAATTTATATATTAATTATATATATTAATAATAAAATACACCTAGACGGTGTACGTGTGTGTATGTATATGTGTATATATATACTTAGATCATATATATATATATAATATATATATATGATCTAAGTATATATATATATTTTTTTTACACTTAATTAATTTTATTTTATTTCATTTCCAGCCAGCAGGGGTACCACCTGTCATTACAGGCAGCCCCCCTGCTGGCAATACTGAAGCCAGCTATACCGGCCATGTGATTGTGGGGTCCTCGCAAGGACCCCACTCTCACATGGCCGGGGGGGCTTCCAGGGGGTCGGACGTGCCGCGCGGGGCTCCCTGGGAGTCCCCCCCACCACGATCGCCGGCGTGGGACCGCCGGCGACCGGGTAAGTAATGAAAGACCGGAGTGTGTACAATTACGCCCGGCGGCGTTTAGAGCCGCCTAAAATAGGGCTTAATTGTACGCCCTCCAATCTTAAGGGGTTCATATCTCCTGCTCTGTAAATAGCTTGCTAGACCCTACAGGAACCTTCTGTATATAAATAAAGTAAAGTTTACAGAGCAGGAGATAAAAATCTGATTGAAACTGAAACCATTTTGTTTTCATGTAGGCTGTTCAGTTGCAACCAGGGAACGTGTGGCTAGGGATGCATAAACAGAAACAAAGTGATTTAATTCTTAAATGGCAGTGAATTAAGCAGTGAGACTGCAGAGCAGTGTTAATTTTTTCGACTAACACTTTTAGTCCACTACCTATACAATTTAGGTGACTCGACTAACTAGCCCGCTTCAGTAAAGGAATGTTTATCAGCCAATTTAACGCACAAACACTTCACACAGATCAGGTAGCACTCCTGGAGGCACCATTTACAAGCGATGAGCTAAAGTCGACCATAGCCTCCTTACCAAAAGGCAAGGGCCCGGGACCAGATAGTCTGACGGACCCGATATTATAAACTAGTCTGTCAAATTTTAGAACCCTATCTCTTAGACACTATTAACAAGATGCCGCCCCAATTATCTCTATCCCCACTGATGCTAAAGCCATCGATAACCGTAATTCCCAAACCAGGGAAAGATCCTACACTGTGTAGCAGCTTTGGACCCATCTCCCTGAACAACTTGGACCTTAAGATATTTGCCAAACTCCTGGCCAATCGACTGAAATCTCCCCTGCCTGGATTTATCCACCCGGACCATGCGGGACTTGTTCCTGGACGTGAGGCCACAGACAACACTACGCAACTCCTTAATATTATATCAGTGACCATTAAAACGCCAACATTACTACTCTTGGTTGATGACAAAAAGGCATTCGACAGAGTAGACTGGTCATTTCTGTTCCTTACTCTAGAGGCCCTGGGGCTGGGGCCGAACTTCCAAACCTGGATACAAACACTATATAGAGGGCCGACTGCTAGTGTGAAGGTCTATGGCCAAGACTCCCCCCCCTTTGCTATAAGCAACGGGGCAAGGCAAGGCTGTCCCCTATCACCCCTGCTATTTTTGTCCTGGCCATGGAACCTTTCCTGAACGCAATCAGGTCCAATACCAACATACAAGTCTACAAATTCCCGGGGGCGGGGGGGAATAAAGGTCTCTGCGTTTGCAGATGATGTACTTCTCACATGCACAGACCCAAAGCAGTCCCTGCCTCACACAGTAGCAGAAATTGACAAATTCAGCGCATGCTCCAACTTCAAAATTAATACAGACAAATGTGAGATACTAAGCCTAGGGGTAGAATCTGGTTTGAAATCTAGACTTCAGACTCACTAGATATAAATGGACAGAGACAGGACTGATGTACCTGGGCATTAAACTTACACACCTCACCAGAAGCCTGTACCGTCTGAACTACCTCCCCCTGATAGCAGACATTGAGTCCAAACAAACAATGGGATATGCCTCACTTCTCGCTTTTTGGTAGGGTTAATATCCTCAAGATGATGATACTGCCCAAAATTCTATATATTTGTTTTAGACAATACCCATACAACTAGGCAACCAATTCTTCCAAAACCTTAAGAAAACGTTTATCTCCTACGTATGGGGTCATAAGAAATCTAGATTAGCTTACGATACTCTAACAGGCATTAGAAGCAGAGGGGCATAAGCCTACTCCACTACTCCACGTATACAGGTATTACATGGCGGTCCTATTCACTAGAATAAGGGATGGTACGACCAAATCATGGTACGACCTGGAGCAAAGCTTCTCACAAGTACCATTATATGCCCTGGCAGACCTGTCACCTACATAAGATCTCACGCTCCCCTCATTCACAATATCCTCCAACAGTGGCGAAGCTACAAAAATGTCTGGGATTTGTCCACAGGACTTTCCCCATACTTCCCCTAGCTAATAATCCTGACCTCCTAGAGGGCAGGGGAGCACCACTCTTCAAAAATTGAGCGCAGTGTTAACTGCAGATAGTCTATACAAGATGATCAATTTTCAGGGGCCCAACTGCCATACCACATTAACTGACACAATGAGATACTCTCAACTGAAACACTTTCTAATGCAGTCAATAGCCCCACACTGGAAGCCCCGAGAGTTGACCCCCTTTGAGAACATATGTTCAACATCAGGCAAATTTACGCAACCTCTTTCACAAATATACCGCATGATTCAGATGGCTTAGGGGCACAGGAAGCACCTGCTTACCAGGGGAAATAGATGCAGGGATTGCACATACATCTAACAGCTCGGGACTGGGCACATATCTTTGACAAAACAATGAGGGCGTCAGTAAGCCTCTCTAGACATGAGTCCTTCTATAAATGAGTCACGAGACGGTACCGGACTCCAGATGTGCTACACCACTTTTGTCCCACAATCAGTGATAACTGTTGGAAATGTGGCAGGGACATAGGGAAAATGGAAGATGTTTGGTGGTCATGCCCAAACCTCGGTACATACTGAAGCCAAATCCTTTCTATTATAGACAACATACTGGCACCCCCGCATATCCGGACCCCTTTCCCAGATCACGGAAACAGACACTGTTGTGGTTGCTGTTGGGTGAAGCGAACTGACCTATCCCTGTACACTGGAGACGTTCAGAAACCCCAACAGTTGCGCAGTGGGTAGATAGAGTTGAACAAATGAGAGCAATGGAGGATCTGTATTGGTCCACACAGGACAAGAAAGACAAATACCTACACACATGGGACCCATGGTTTAGATATTGAACAGGGAGAAAGGGTGTTGGATAAACTCAAAGATGGAGCAGAGGACACATAGGGCATGACAAGAGATGGCCGATGAAGAGCGTCACCCTCACATACACAAAAGGGACACTAAAGGCCCGTATTACGGTTATCAAAGCTAACATATAATTTGAAAATGCGCAAGTCACGACATGCGAACACAAACTCCAACAACTAGGTTGACTACTGGTATCCACCACTCCTACCAACTGTTTTAACCATCAACCCCCCGCCCCATATACTCCTCCCTATATATCGGTTATAATAAGTACACTCGAAAGTAGATATACTGCTAATACAAAACACAGCACAGGAGGTGCGCCGGGCTACCACGCAGTTGTAGCATACATGTAATTTACAAAGCACCCCCAGCGGATACACCCCATGGGTTTAGTTACTCAGAGACACTGCCTCCACAAAGGGTTCACGTAGGCAATGCATGGATAGGCCAAAACGGAACTGTAAGATCTTTGGGGTTGACTATATGGCTATGGCTAATAGAAATGTTTGAAATTCGAGTTAAGACTTATTCTGGACTACACCATTATCTGTATTAAGTATTGTGTATCACTGTAACATGCCATCACCACTGCTCCCCCACCCCCTTTTACTTTCTGTATCCCTTATACCTACAGCAAAACAACAATTTGAATTAAAAAAATACATATATTTTTAGTCGACTAAAACGAAAAGAATTCAGATGACTAAAATACAACTAGAACTAATATGGCTTTTTATTTAAAAGACTATGACTAAAACTAATTTCTGCCAAAATTAACGCTGCTGCAGAGGCATGAACTAAAACTGTTTTGGTGGCTATAGTGTCCCTTTAAGTGGAGATTAGGCTTCTCTAAAGAAGTACTTTTTTTTTTAGGGGCCTGAACAGATGGGGAGAGTTGAATGTCCTGCAGGAGAACATTCCACATTATCCCTGTACACTGGAGTGAGAAACCCTGGAGAAGTCCTATAGGCAGAAATCTGGTTGGCAAGAACGGAACACCAATAGATCCTCTGTAGAGCGAAGAAGCTGATATGGAGCATATCTGCTAATGAAGGTGGAGATATAAGCAGGGTCATGGTTATACAGAGCTTTGTAATTAAGCACAAGAACCAAATCCTAAATGAAACAGGAAGCCAGTGTAGAGACTGACAAAGGGGTGAGGTGTGAGACATAAAGTAGATGAGTCTGGGAGAGGCATTCATTACAGACCGCAAAGAAGTAATCCAGGCACTTTTCAGGCCTACAAGCAGAGGGTTACAATAATCAAGGCAGGAAACAACAAGAGCATTTTAGTTGCATACTGAGTGAGATGTTTTTAAGGTTTATGAAGCAGTGTGGTATAGACCAGGGCTGTCCAACCTGCGGCCCCCCAGATGTTGCTGAACTACAACTCTCATGATTCCCTGGCTATCTTTTTAATTGAAAGAATCATGGGAGTTGTAGTTCAGCAACATCTGGGGGGCCGCAGGTTGGACAGCCCTGGTATAGACCATGCTCCTGTAGTCTCATTGTTAAGTTCTCTGCAATTTTCTTCATAAACAAAAACAACTTTTGTTTATCTACAGTACACCCTTATCACAGTCGTTTATTACCCGCCTGTCAGCTTTCTCTCTTACTGGGGCTCTCAGAATATCGCAGGGAGCCTTCATATGAAACCCTACTTGATTACCCTTGATTACATGTAACACACACACCAGAGAGAGCAGCCTATCATAACATAGCTTATCCCATGGGTAGTCAGGTATTAAGCTAAGTCTACTCCATTTGGTTTCCCACCTGACACTCATGGTTCCTACGTAGCCCCTCAGACTGTAATGTTGTAGCCTGAACCTCATTCACATATAACTTTTAAAAAATTATGCCTAAGCTTGTACATATAGACATATCCTTTATTTCTTTTCATCTATTTGCCCAGCAAGTAATATTAGCGTGGACTTTAAGCCTGTTAATCTTCCTCTTACTTACTTAAAAATCTGCACAGTCTTTTCCATGCCATGACATGTTTTGCTGTTAAACGGTATGCTACAGCTATTGTGGCATAGGATGCCAGAGTGTTATTTCATGCACAAACAACCCACTCGCTTTTATTGCATATTTTCAAAATGAATAAACTTGGCACACCATGGCAGCTTTAGAGGCAAAAAATTGGCACACTTTGGCAATCGGCTTTAGAGGCATAAATTGACACCATGGAAATCCGTTTTAGATGCATAAAATTGGCACATCATGGAAATCAGCTTTAGAGGCATAAAATTGGCACACCATGGCAATCATTTTTAGATGCATAAAATTGCCACATCCTGGCAGCTTTACATGCGTAGAAATGGCACACCATGGCAATCAGGTTTAGAAGCATACAATTGGCACACCATGGCAATCAGCTTTAGATGCATGTAAGTGGCACACAAATGGCAGCTTTAGATACATAAAATTGTCACACCATGGTAATCCGCTTTAGAGGCATAAAATTGGCACACCATGGCAATCAGTTTTAGAGGCATACATTTGGCACACCATGGCAATCCACTTTAGATGGATTCAGTTGTCAAACAATGGCAATTGGTTTTAGAGGTATAAAATTGGCACATCAAGGAAACCTGTTTTAGATGCCTAAACTTGGCACTTTATGGAAACCAGTTTTAGATGCATAAACATGGCATATCATGGATGAATTAGAGACATCATTTTGGTATATCTTTGCAGTTTTAGAGGCATAATTTTGGCATATTGCAGCAGTTTTAGAGGCAGAAACTTGGCATAGCATGGCAGTTTTAGAGGCATAATTCTGGGATCTCATGGTAGCTTTTAGAGGAATAATTTTGGCATGTCGTGGCAGTTTAGAGGCATAAACTCTGCACATCATGGCAATCAGTTTTATAGGCATACAGCTTGTTACTCACAGACTCAGAAGTGCTGTGTCCATCTCTTTCTCAGGTTGAGTATCCCAGTGGTAGATCCTTGTCTGTAGAGATCTCCAACAATGCTAGGCTAGCTGGGTATTTACCATTTGCCCACCGTTGCGGGGTTGTATTTGTGAGCAGTGTTTGAGCGTTTGAATGTAAGCATGTTTTTGTATGAAGTAAGTGTGTAAATGAAGGTGTGCATTTGTATGTAGTGTATGTAGGTGTGCATGTAGGTTTAGTGCATTTGTGTGTAGTGTATACACACACACACACACACAAATACTCAGACTGACACAGCAATACACATGCAAACACACACAATGACACATGTTACACACACTGACACAGATACAGACACTCAGATCCACATGAACACACACAATACGCACACACTGACACAAAAGGACACACCAATACACAGACACACAGACAGGAGCTGAAAGTGATAGTGTGTAGGTGAAGGTGACAGTGTGGGGAAATCGAGGGTGGCAGTGGGGGAGGAGGTGAGGGTAACAGTGTGGGGGAGGTGAGGGTGACAGTGTGGGGGAAGTGAGGATGACGGTGTGGGGGAGGGAGAGTGTGACAGTGTGGGGGAGGTGAGGTTGAGAGTGTAGGAGGGAGGTGAGGGTGACAGTGTGGGGGAGGAGGTGAGGGTGACAGTGTGGGAGGGAGGTGAGTGACAGTGTGGGAGGGAGGTGAGAGTGACAATGTGGGAGGGAGGTGAGAGTGACAATGTGGGAGGCAGGTGGGGGTGACAGTGTGGGAAGGAGGTGGGGGTGACATGGGGGAAGGAGGTGAGGGTGACAGTGGGGGAAGTGAGGGTGAAGGTGTGGAGAGGAGGTGTAGGGGAGAGGGACAGTGGGAGTGTGACAGTGTAGGTGGAAGTGAGGGGTGATGGTGTGGGAGGTGAGGTGACAGTGTGGAGGGAGGTGACGTGAAGTGTGGGGGGGAGATGAGGGTGTCAGTGTGGAGGGGAGGTGAGGGTGACAGAGGGGAGAGGTGACGGTGACAGTATGCGCGAGGTGCGGGTGCAAGACATTAAAATACCTTTGTGAGAGGTTCCTGGTGGTCCTGTGGTCTTTTCTCCTTCCTTCCTCCCCTGAAAACCCATTAAACCTTGGATCAGGACTGTGCCGAGGTCCAGTCAAACTTTAAGTGGTGTTGCTCGGTCCCTTGACCTCCAAATAGACCAATATTTGGAGAAAAGGTCGAGAAGGCATAGGAGGATGCCTAGGGTGTGAGAGTGGTCCACTCTCCAGAACCCTTTTTCGGAGACTGTGACTAAGCCGCCACATGCCTTGAACTGGTCAGCAGATCGGAGAATAGCCACGACCTGGTATAACAAGCTGTCTCTCAGAAGCGGATTCTCTGATTAGGGGCACTAATTGGACAGCAACAGTGCTTAGTGACAAGCTTTTCATAGATATATATATATTGATTGATTGAGCAAGGTGTGAGGGAACGTGATTAGGCAGGAAGGAAAGAAAATTACAAAAGCCTAATCTTCAGAAACAGTAATGAAGATACTAAATGTAGAGGAGGAGACCAGAGAAAGGGTTGAACAGTTGACCAGATAATCATGAATTTCAGATGTTGATCTTTTCTATGAAGTAGGATAAAAAATTAATACCCGTGAGATTAGTAGATGGTGGAGGCAATGTGGGTGCCCTAGTCAGTTACAAGTTTGAAAGAGGCATTCAGGGTCATGCGAGAAGGTGGAGATGAGTGAGGTGAACGATGTTTGTAGGCAAAAGTAAGGGCACAGTTTCCGCTTGACTAACCACCACTACTACCTCAGAGGGTATTTTTTATTTTAGACTTTTGTCTTGGGACTATTGTATTGATTTTATATTGAGCTATTTGAGGCTTTTTACTGTCTGTATATATTTTTTAGGCACAGACCTTTTTTTCTTAGTTTTTTGTTCTTTTAGATCTATTAAAGGGTTTGAGAGGAATCCATTTCTAGGGGTTTACCTCCCCCATTGCCTTGTTCTTTTGTTAAGTTTATTAGAGCTGATCCATTTGCTTCTTGTATTGATATTGATTGAGCAAAGTGTGATGGAATGGAATCAAGGGGTACATGGTAGGGCAGGAATGAAATAAAATCATAAAAACCACATCTTTAGAAACCGTAGGAAAGATACTAAATGTACAGGAGGAGGCCGGAGAAAGTGTTGAACAGTTTAGCGGAGAATCATGCATTTCATGATGTTGTAAATCTTTTCTGTGAAGTAGGGTGAAAAATTGATTTTGAATGTTTGTCCACTGACAAAGAAATCAGTCTGTAATTTTAATGGTAGGTGTATTTTAACAATGGTGTTCCAGCATGACAATAACCCAAAACATACAGCCAAGGCAACAAAGGAGTGGCTCAAGAAGAAGCACATTAAGGTCCTGTAGTGGCCTAGCCAGTCTCCAGACTTTAATTCCATAAAAAAATCCGTGGAGGGAGATGAAGTTTCGAGTTGCCAAACGTCAGCCTCGAAACCTTAATGACTTGGAGACGATCTGCAAAGAGGAGTGGGACAAAATCCCTCCTGAGATGTGTGCAAACCGGGTGGCCAACTACAAGAAACGTCTGACCTCTGTGATTGCCAACAAGTGTTTTGCCACCAAGTACTAAGTCAAAGGGATCAAATACTTATTTTATTCATTGACATGCAAATCAATATATACAGTTGCAAGAAAAAGTATGTGAACCCTTTGGAATGATATGGATTTCTGCACAAATTGGTCATAAAATGAGATCTGATCATCATCAGGGTTCACATACTCTTTCCACCTGCACAGTGAATGTTTACATGGTGTGTTCAATAAAAACATGGCAACATTTCATTCTTTGTGTGTTATTAGTTTAAGCAGACTGTGATTGTCTATTGTTGTGACTTAGATGATGATCAGATCACATTTTATGACCAATTTGTGCAGAAACCCATATCATTCCAAAGGGTTCACATACTTTTTCTTGCAACTGCAACTCTTTTGATATGCGATTATTATTATTTTTTGTTATTCTCTCTCTCACTGTTAAAATACACCTACCATTAAAATTATAGACTGATAATTTCTTTGTCATTGGGAAAACATTCAAAATCAGCAGGGGATCATATACTTTTTTCCCTCACTGTACAGTGAGATTAGTAGTTAGTAGATAGTGAAGGCAACATGGGGTGCCTTAGTCAGTTAAATGGTTGTAGAGGGTAGATGCCATAGAAGAAAATATGATAGAAGGGTTGGATGTCAATGAAAAACTGCTGCAGATTAAGGGATTTCAGGTTTCTGTATGAGTCGCATGGAGGAAGTCATAAGGAGTAATTTAGAGGACTCTGAGGTGGTCAGTTCTTTTTTAGAGTTCCTAAAATTTCCAAGAATTGTGGAGGGAATGCCAGAGGACAGCCAGGGACAGTGAGGGAGCCAGGTTGAAAGTGATCCAGAAAAGGTTCAAGGTGGCAATAGATAACTGGATATTATAGCAGGAAGGTGGTAAAAAATGCAGATAGCGTGTACCTCAAAAGAAGGGAAAGAGAGTAAAGGTACAGAGTGAAGAAGTTTAAACATATAGAAAGGTGAGAGAAGGAGACTCACACTACCACCCTTGTAGTA